ATCGAACGGACGTTCCGCTTTTCACCAATCTAGTTCGTCGCGGGAAAACGAGAACATTCAGTTGGCGCGGGGTGCCTTACAGGAGTAGAACTGAGTTCTGTTGAGCTTCAAAGAGGTAGAGGGCGGCAGGACCCAGCCCCGAAGGGCTCCATGCTCCTGAACACGGAACGTGTGTGCAAGCCGGGCTTGCTGTTCGTATTAGCGACCGAGAAGGGCTTTGAGAAACCAGAAAAGATCGTTATCGGCTCTGAGGCGTTGGGCAATTATGCTCAACGCTTCACGATGAAAGAAAGTTTGGTGTATGCTGAGGCGCTGAAAGCGCAGTTGAGTGACACCGTCACTGTTCGCTTACTTGTGTCAATGTGTTGAGGGTCCCTGTGGACCTCGGTATCAAGTTTCTTGACTTTGATAGCTTGGAACGCTGCTTAGTCTTAGACTTGGATTTAAAATTAACTTTATCCTTGGAATGGCGTGGTTGGAACACCATGATCCATGAACTGATTGAAGGTCGAAGAATAGGAGCGTTATGCGCACGTCTCCTATTTGAGCTTTGGTGAATCATGAAATCAACTCTACAAGGAATCAGAAGTGCTACTGGCGCGGGCACTGGACTGGGACGGTCAATGTGCTGGATATCGGAGTATCCAAGTCGTCGAACACCGAATGTGTATTGGACAAGAGTCCGGAGCATGGCTCGCGGGCTGAACGTGGAGTGGCACGTGATCCACCGAGCACTGCTCACGTTATGAAGCAGTTGCGGCATGCCAAGAATGGCATGGTCAAACGATGTCCAAAGCATCTTGGGCAAGGCCCTTCTGATGCGTGTGGAGTGGCACGTTATCCACTAGACTGCGGAATTAACAGCTCTTCGTCGGATGTTGTGAATAACATCAAGTCTCCGATGGGGCAGGAAGTGGAAACACGGTACGGCGCTGAGTGTATATTCCCACTGGTCTCACTGGGACGTAATACTTCAATAGAGAGAAGACGGCGTTGCAGTATATTATCTGCAAGACGCAGGGCGTCGACCCTGGGTCAACCGTAGACGATAGCGCATAGCTATACCCTCTTAATAACGGCATGACGGGAATGGAAGACGAAGACGTCACCCTTGAGGCTATTTCCGCGGTGAATGCGCTTCTTGAGCTGGACGAGATGTTCTTCGAAGCATTTGTCGGTGCCTTGAAGGCAGGCGGTTTAGCCGAGGCATTATATTTCCAAGAGGAAATTAAATCATTGTTGCTTCTAAATTAAGCTATCCTGGAGGACACCAAGAGGATGCCGAGCGCATGAAGTGGATCATTGATCCTGAAGGTTCCTCGGATCCGTACTTTCCTTTGGTAAAGAAATTCAAGATGTCGTCTCCAAATAACCGCCGTCGGTCCTACCTCCGGACCGAGGTGTGTGTCATGAGATTGACCTGATTCCGGGGACCAAACACTTCGTAACACGCCAATCGCCCCTGCCCAAGGAGTAGTGTGACGTCATTTTTTTCATGCGAAGCACGACGCAGAAATGTTGCGTAAGTGTAATTCTACCGATTCGAGACCCCGGTGTTGTGTCCGGAAGCCGAACGGCAAGTGGCGTATCGTTCACGCTTACAATAAGCGAAAAGCTGGCACCATTCCGGCACAGACACCGAATCCTAGGAAGTATGTTCTCCAGAACAGTATGTTTGGCTGTAAAAAGTACAGTGCACTCGACTTGGTCGATGGGTTATCAATTGCTCATGAAAGCGAGTTGTATTCCGCTGAGAGCGGTGAGTACTTCGAGGGGAATGCTCTGGGAGTGGTTGGTGATGCCTCAAGGGCTGTGAAATGCATCAGCAACATTTAATCGTCTTGTGACGCAATTGTTTGGGCCCCATCGGGCTTAAACACAAACTTTTGTCGACGACATCTTCGTTCACAGTCGCGCGGAGGACGGTAGGACAGATATAGAGAACCACATCGTCCATTCGAGAGCGGCGCTCGAGTGCATGCACACGAATAAGCTGTACGCTAATATATTTTAGTGCATTCTCGGCGCGGTAGAAACCCCCTTTTTAGGGAGCATCATTGGGAAGCGTGGCCTTCGAACGGATCCAGATAAGGTCAAGGTCACTGTGGACTGGCCGGTTCCAAAGAACCGAAAGGCTTTGCGCAAGTGGCTTGGCCTCGCCAACTAGTATAACGCAAATTATGCGGAAATGGCACTACCAGTGTCGAATCGCCTTAAGAAGGATACGGAATGGTGTTGGGACACTGAGCATCGGGAGGCTTTTGGCAGGGTCAAAGACAGCCTCCTTCATGCACCAATACTGGTGTTGTCAGACCCCAATCGTTCTTTTAGTGTCGTCTGTGACGCTTCAGATCATGTGTCATTACGCACTGCGACTCAGTCGCCTCACCTCTTGCAGAGGATGACGGCCTGGTGGTTCTCGTTCTTTGCAGATTATAACTTCGAGGTGAAATATTGGCCATGAAAGCAGAATGTTTTGGGTGATGTGTTGTCATGCAAACCGGACCATGAGCTTGCTCATGTCACGACGGTGACGTCGTCCATGACGAATTTTATCCGCGCCGCGTACGCAGAGGGTGTTATTTGCGTAGCGCTGCTACAGGCAAAGAATTTGAAGACTCGAACAAGGAGTTGTGTCGCGACTGCGCGCACGGTTGCACCGATATTCATTGAATAATGGATTGCTATATTACAGCACCGACATGACGGATACGCCACAAGTTGTGGCTCCTCACGATGAGAATTTGAAGTACCGTATTCCTTATGAAGCCCACGACACCCCACTTAATGGTCATCTTAGTCGTGAGAAGGCGTACAGCTCTGTCAATTGCCACTACTGATAGCCCAAGCTATACAAATGGACGAGCACCTATGTGCGCATGTATGAGACGTGTCAAAGGGTGAAACCCTCTGCGAATGCGGCGGCACCGCTGGCCAACTTGCCGGTACCCTCCAGGTGTTGACAGTCCATGGGTTTGGACTGTGTGTTTGGCCTGCTGAAGGACTCGGCAGGCAACACGGGTGTCGTGGTCTCGTCGACCGTTTGGAAGAGATGGCTTATCATGCGGCGGTGCTGGACACCATCGACGGTGTGGATACAGTGACGCTGTTTGTCGATCGTGATTTTCAACAACATGGACTCCCAGAGCAATTATCTCTGTCAGAAGACCCACACTTCACTGAGAGGCTTTCGTCGACGATCTTTAAGGTGCAGGACACCAAGCTGGATATGTAAACAGCGAAACATCCGCAGAACAAAGGTCGAACTGAAACGAAACGCGTCGTCGAGGACATCCTTCAAAGCGTCTGCACTGAGGGTCCGAAAGGCTGGAGCGCCATGCTGCCACTCGTACAGCTAGCTCTGAACAATGCAGTTCATTCGTCTACCGGCTATACGCCGTTCTACGTGAACGGGATCGTTCATTCTCGCGTCTTGCTGACGATGCGATTCCATCTGTTCAAAGCTTGGTGGGGGAGGATTATAGCCGAGCGGCTAGCTGATGTCAGCCCTCTCACTGTTCGTAAAGAAGTCGATGAATGTCAATCTACCAGAGTGAGTGGCTTACGACACGCTCGCGATACGATGGCTGAAAGCCAAGACGTGCAGAAAGATTATGCGGATGAAAGAATTAGAAGTAATGTGGAAAACTTTGTGGTCAGAGAACTGGTTTCGTTAAATGCTAAAAACCTTCCTACATATGCAGTCTTTGCTGTCATAAGAACAGAGCTCCGCCCACGGTTTACTTGACCTGGCCAAACAAGGCCTTGCGTATACGCCAAACCTTTCGAGAAGGATGCATATCCACCCCGTGATTTATGCGGTCTTGTTTAACCCGTACCGGGATCCGGCGCAAGTGAACGCGGAGGCGTTGTCGACGGGGCATCGCCCAAAGCACTCGGCCACCCAGAAGCTGAACCAGCAACTGTTTTTGCGCACGGATTGCAAAGATCTCCAGCTCCAACGGCGCCAGCGCTTCACTGTCGCGCGAATTGACGTATTCGTATGCTGGACGGTTTGGTGCTCTGATAGAGCACGATAGTCCTCAACGTGAGGCAGTAAAGTGCTCCGAGCTCTTGAGGGCTTCCGCACAGCGGAACGCAACCTCGGTAAGATGCTCGGAGGAGTGACGATGGCGACGGACTTTGTTCACAAGAGCTCGAAGAGCACCGCGAGCAACCGGACGGCGATCGACCAAGTCGTCATCATCCGCCGCCGACTCTTTTCGAAGAAAACGGTGGCGTCCACCATCACATGGAACTCCTTGTGGGTCGACGACGTCGCCAGGGTCCAACTCAGTATTTTTGTGAAGTTACCGGCTTCGAGAACTCATGGGAGTTTGAAGTGCCACTTCGGCAAGACTGCCCAGACGTCTTAGACGCCTATGATTAAAGAGATCATGATGTTCCGCGTCGTCGTACACCCCGCGCTTCTCGCAATAGCCAGGGATGCTGAAGGGTCATGAGCTGAGCTCAAGTTATGGCCCTGAGCTGCTGCAGTTACTCACCTGTGTGAGAGACCACAGAGATCACGGGAGCGTGACGGATCAACTGGTTTCACCAGGGGCGAGCACCACAGGAATCATCCGCATCGCAGGTACAGAAGCGCCTCCTCTTTGAGCACGAAGTCGAGTGCTGTGCGTCTCCACCGGAATTTTTGAGAAACCAAGTTGTGAGCTCGGAGAGGTTTTCGTTCGTCAAGCTCAGTTTGTGTGGTGGCCAGGGGTTTAGTAGCGTAGACGCCCAACGAATGAGCGATCGCTTCCTTCGCTTCCGTAGCAGGATCCGCCGAGCGGAAGCCGTGTTCTACACCAGTATATTTATTTTATTCCGTAAGTGTTTTCCGCTGGTAATTAAATTTATAAGATGACTAAGCTATCTACGATTTGACTTGATGTCTTTTTGAAAGTAGTAAATAAAAATACACAAATTATTTTCATTTTCTAGCACTAAAAAGCCATGACGCACTGTTACGCCACTTTTCCGCTACCTGCTTCGAGCAATCAAAGATTTTTTCCATCGTATCGCCACGGAGCCTTTGCACTGCCATGTCTATGAAGAGGTGCTAAGTTGTACGCCATAGCTACCTCCTCAATAAAGCTTGTCGAGTTCTGGATGCACGATCCACCAAGTAGAACGCGCTGACCTGAATTTGACGCAGCTGCTTTTTTATTCAACTCGGCCACCTTCATCGCTTCCTCAAACGTGACGCCGCCGCATACGAATACAATAACGTCACGCACCCGCTTGAGACCGCTAGGACCGCCAGGATCAGTTGACGTTATTGAGGTTGCACCTCCATTTACAACGCCAAATTCTTGATCCAGCAGTTGGCCTTTTAAGATAAGTTCTAGCTTTTTAGCTAGTGGAGGCACGTGCTGAGCATATACATTCGGAACACCTTGTACACCCTGAGTAACAGCACGCATGAACTTTTTCAGGCCAGCGCGATCACCATACAAGTCACCCTGGCGGGATTTCTGACCTCCAAACTTGAGAAAGGCATCGATCAAAGCCACACAATTAATAGACAATCCACCTTCCTGAGGAGCGACAAGCAACTCTTTGATTGACTTGAGTTGCACAGAGCTATGTGATTCGTATCGCAAAGCATATAATATTGCTAAGCGCAGTTTGTTCAATGGTTTAACTCGCGCGTCTTTAAGTTTCGCCACCACGTCGCGGAAATGCGTGTTGTGGTCATCTCCACATGCGAGCTCCTGTTCCAGTTGACTGACGTCCATGAGTCCATCCACTTCAACACGACGTGCCAGTTCACCCATCAGCGTCACATGCTTTGAAACAGTGACTGACTGTGATCTAAAGGCTGGGTAATTTTCCAGAAAACGCTGCATGTCATCAATAGACTGAATATTCTCGTGAGTTTGAGTTTGTGTCTGATATTTGTCTACAAGCTGCTTTACAGCCATACCAAGATCACCAAAGTTTGCATGCACATGCTGTGCAAAAAAATTGTCTGAAGTTGTTGATAGCACAAGCTCCATCATATCTTTCCGCACATTCGGTGCGTCGCAAAGATCCACGCGATTTTCGTGCAGTCCAAGCAGTTCATGCACCATACCTTGATAGCACCACTGAGTCAGCAACGGGGTCACAGGGTCATCTTTTCGATCCATAACATAAAGAAGTGGCGTCACCTCCGGTCGTCGAAAATCAAACAATCCATCCTGCTCAAGTTGCATCCTTGCCGAGACCTCACGTGCTAACTTCTCGGCTACTTCTGATCCTTTGACATAACGTATTGTCGGCCTCTTTTTCATTGAAAGAAGAACAGACAGCAACCCTTCAACACTTCGCTGAAATAGCTGCGGAGACGTCATGGTGGTCTTATCAATTGGGTCTGGGATAAGAACTCCAGCTGTTGCAGTAGATAATAGAGCTCCTCCGGGCAATGTCACCGGCATTTTGACACTTAGTTGAATGGTATTCTGCAGACCAAAGTCAAAAAGAGAGTCATTTACTGCCAGATAGTCGGCGTAATATTCTTGAATTTGCACCACGACTTCCTTTTCGTCGGCGTCCGCGAGTTTCTCGAGCGACTCGACTGGCAAAATATTAGAGAAGAAAAGATGATAATTTCCATATTTGGGGGATTTGAGCTCTTTTCTCAGCAGCTCGATGTTACGCGCTGTGGGCCGCACAAAGACCGCGGCCTTGAGATGCAGCATGGGCTCGTGCGCAGCGTCCAACTGCTCCACGAGGAACACTTCTCGCTGAAGAATATGCGACTGGGACATGACCATACTGATAACGCTTTTGGTTTCGGCATCCAGTAGAAGCGCCTTCATCCCATCGAGTTGCGGGTCCGAAATTATCTTTTCCAGGTAGTTTTTCACGCTAGTAATCGCGTCCATCGCCATAATTGCCAGGGTCGGACCTTTTACTCGGACCTTTTACACGTACGAAGTGGGAGCTCACTATAATAGATCCCGAATGACACAAACTAAATATCATTTATAACAGTTTTCTTAACTTATTATTCTGATCGTGCATGGGCAATGAACGCTAGCACTCGACAATCACAGCAAGACTCCAACACGCAGTGATAATGGCGACCACACTTATAACGACGGATGCGACGCGATTTGTGCGTGTGGCGCTCTCGCTGCATAGCTTCCAGTAAAAGACACATGGTAACACGAGCGCCAGAAGTGCAGTCGGTACCAGCATCCACGCAAAGACATCGATTGTGCTGGGTGCAGTGTAGTAGCCCAATAAGAGTGTGACAAGCACCACAATGCTCCGACTGAAGACGCGTGCAGTAGTTTCAACGCCTTCCTGATATTCTTGATGGTCGCTCTGAGGCGCGGGGTCAGAGTTTACGAATGGCAGCGCCCCAGCTGCTGCTGCTACTTCTACCGGGCTGTTACAACCCCTTCCAGTAGATGTCTGCACAATCCAGCGCTCGAAAGCACGCTGGACTGGAAACAAGGTTATGGTGTAAGACAGTAGTAAGTGAATGCTATACAACACGATGGCTAGGTTGCGCACGACGATATTGCGCATATTGAAAAAAACTGGCGCCTGAAGTGTCGCACCATAAACAGCGTACGTGATGCAGCAAATAGGTAGATATAAGAGAGCTGTGGTTCCCAGCTTCGTCCTCGCCACCACTGAGCTACATTGGCTTGAATCTGCCATAGCGTTATATAATGTAGGTATGATCGAATGGCCGAAAAGCCCGCCGAGAAGCAACGAGAAGGTGTATGAAAGCTTACCCATCATTGTAACATTTGAAAGATCTGGCGTCACAAAAACAAAGTCTGAATGCTCCAATGCAATCTGCTTGAGGGGGTACATAGCATCGCCCAGAATGACCGATTCGATCCAAAAGCTGAAGGCCACATTTACCGCTGATAGAACTGCTAATGCTTTGAGCGACGGTACAAGTACTTGAAACCACACGCACACTGCCACTAAAATCATGACAGTACCATACTGAAGTCCCAGGACATCAACAAGGCAAGACGACGTCAGCGCCAAGTATCCCGTGGACAAAATCAAAAATGAGGAGTGCACCAGCACACTCGTGACCAATTTTCCAGCCGCACCGAAACATTCGTGACCAAGATCGCTGTACGATACATTTGTGCCTCTCAGCCAACGCACAGCCTCCAGCGCATCTACCAATAGCTTAGAAGTGTACGCGCTTACCGCCGCGGCTGCGATGAGCAACAATACACCATACCAATTAATCTCGACGAGGGCTAACGGTAGACACAGCATGCCTGTCCCTGTAATGAATGACAGCAGGTGGTAGAACGTTTGCCAATTCGAAAGCCTGTTAAGCATTGGTGACATCACAGTAGGGGCTACCGACGGCGACCAGGGTGGCGTAATACTCTGAGGATCCGTGAATTTGTCGATGGATGTAGCACCGTAATTGTTCCTGCCTTTCGATGAGATGGCACCAACGGCTGCACCGTGACCATCAAAGCTGTTCGTAATATCGTTGTAGGTCTTTGGATGCTTATGTTGCACTGATTGTACCAGGCGTTGTGTCTCGTAGCAGCCCATACGCTCTCCAGCCATGTCGATTCCTCGATGCGGTGCTTTGTTCAGGCGGCAGATGTAGCTGTATCTTGCGTTTCGATAGGATTGGGAACGTAACCTTCGACTAAAACACCTGTACACAGTTAGACAGACAACGATTTGGCATGCAGATTGATCGAGTCTTACACACATTAAGCAACATTAGAGCGACATACCCACTCAAGATCATTTGAAGTTGAAGTTAGACAATAATGTTACGAAGCATCCATATACAAGGCTAAGCCACGCCTTAATAAATTATGGAAGCGATGACGATGGCAAATGCAACGCATACCGGCATAGAAATCGTGTATTGAAAGGATTCAGCACATTTCTTCCAAAATGACACTTTTACTCTGCAAAATGTGGTACGTCGAAGTATAGTCGTGAGCTGACAGTTGTAACAGTACTGGGTGAAAAAGACTAGTGCACAGACGGAAAAACTTATTTTTGGGTTGTTGCGTATATTCAAATGGCCGAACACGACAATTTAGCAAACGAGGGCATCTGTAAAATTCGACTTCCACGTCGACCTGTAGACCAAACGTGAAGCCTTTCGTTTCTATACTCCCCCACCTACTGTGGAGGCTCCCACTCAAACGGCTCAGGTGGGTCAGCCTCGTCTTCCGCGCCAGCGGCAGCGGGTGCCTTTACTGTCTCGACATCCTCAGCCTCATCCGGGGTTGTATCACGCAGCATAATAACTCCTGCCAGCCTTTGTGTACGTTGCATCACCGGGACGTACCTTTGCGCCATATCAATAGAAATTACTGACTCCTGTGCAAGCGTCACACGTGCAGGCGTCGTGAATGTAAACACGCTAGGCTCTTTTGTCATCACTGCTTTCTTGCTAGCTGTCGGCTGAGATCCCTCAGTATCCACATCCATATTCATATCAATCTCTTTCTTTTCCTCATCAGCTGCAGGCGACTCCTTCTCCATCACTATGTCTCCACTAGCGTCAAAGGGCTTTGTCAATTTCTCTTGTTTTGCCTGGCGCGCACGCGCCTTCGCAGTTGTGGACAGCACCGCTGTGGCTACAAGCTCTTTCTTTTCTTCCTTCTTCTCCTCCAACCGCTTTGGCGTAGCAAAAGCAGACTTTTTTGCGTTGCATGTAAGTTTGAAGCTTCGGGGGAGCTTTAAATCTTTATTAAGACCAACTACCAATGTCGTCTGAAGGGAAAGCTCCAGAAAGTTGAAAAACGGATACCAGAACCAGTGCTGTGCCCAAATTGCCAAACCCACCACAGCAGCCATTTTAGTAAATCCTGCATGAGACTGTAGCGAAATGACTACATTGCGACCACCGGCATCTAAAATGCCCTGTGCTAAGATAGCACCCATCTTAGTCATAGTCGTCACGTGCTTGTCAGTAATAAGCTTGAGAATTTTAGCACGAATAGCAGCCACCTTTGGGTTGCGACCCTCAGATTCTTGCATTACAACCATCGCTAAGGCAAGCAGCGCACCTTGACGTACGTAATCCACAGCGTCGTCAAGAAGTGGCTCCAACAGCTGAATTGCCTCATTCTTCGCAGTACCAGCGCATGCAATACCTACAGCTACGCAAGCTCCGTAGCGAACATGGGGATTAAAACTCTCAGCCAGCAGTGACACCAGCTTCGGTACCTGAACAGGGGTGCGAAACAAAATGAAGCCTAGACAAGTGACGGCAGCGCGACGCACATCGTCAGACACATCACTTACGGCCACGTGCAACAGTCTCCGAATTGCTGTATTGTTAGCAGTCCCTGCATACGCCATGGCGACAGTGTACATCCCTCCGTAACGAATTAAAGGATCTTTGTCACGTGTCAGCTGCTCGATCAACGTATCAGCTTGTTCTTCGCGCTCGTACATCATAAGCGCGATACTCGTAACGCAACCACGAATAATTTTCTCGTGTTTTGTGTCGTGCGCATAGGCAAGCAATTCTTTTACAATTTCACCGTTGTGTTCTTCACCTCCAGCACCAAGAAGAATTAAACCGATCGCAATGCCTGCACCCTCGCCTGCAACAGCTGAATCGGTGAAAAGTACAGCTTTCAGCTCCTCGTAAACTTCGTAGTCTTGCGAAGCTAGGCCACACAGACCAATGCCCAAACACGCGCCATGCTGCACGGTCTCATCCGATCGAGCATTCTTCAGCGCATTGCGCAGATACTCCATCGTTGTCTTGCTGCCTGATCCTGCGTATCCCTTATTTGCGTGGATCAAACCCATTGCGTATAAAGCACCACCCTCAGAGTATGGAGACGTCGTCATCCCACCTTGAGGCAAGTACGGAGACAAAAGGTTCATGCTTTCACGAACGTGGCCCTTATGTACAACGCCCAAGCTAGCAGTGGCTGTAAATTTCGCCCAATTGGTGGCCTTACCCAGCCATTCTAAATTTTCACGCAGAAAAGTATCCGAAGTCGTGCCGCAATTCATATAAGCGTGAGCTATTACAGCTGCGTGATGCAGTACTGAATTGCGATTCTCAACAGCAGCCTTAATTGTCTTCATAATTAGTGGATCCGAGTCGCTTCGACTGTATAGGAAGTCGAGCTTCAAGTCTACGAGAAATTCGCCGGACAAAATTCGCTTTAATTTTTCCAGTTTGTCCCAGTAATCAGCGCAAGCACCTGTCGGGGCCGAAGGGGGTGTAGCAGGTACAGTTAGAATAGCACTGGCGGGAATGTGTGTCTCGATCTTGCCATCTTCGTTCAAATTGGTCGAGTCTGTAACTGCAGGATCGGCAATTGGTGCCGAAGGTCTCGGTAGTGCGTGGTAGACATTCATCAAAAATTTCTGATTTTCGTTTTCATTAAGATCAAATGCGACCTGGAAAGCAATGAGGCCGTCACAGTCGCTACCGCGCACCAGCTGGTCAAGAATTTTACTGACTTCCTCGTGATTGTCTAGCATCTGTAATATCTGACACACACTTGCGTGCTCTTGAGTTGGACGCGAGCGGTATACTTCCAGCATAATTTTAAACACCTTTAGACGAAAATGGCGGTTAACGACCACTGTCTTGCAAATTTCGAAGCAGTAAGAGAGTGCTGCTGACACGTCTGTAGAGCGCGCCAGGCATTCCTTTACCTGGTCCAGTCGTCGAGCCTCCAAGGCAATGCCCATAGCCTGGCGAAATTCGCCGGCCGCGTAGCAGCGCTCAAACATGCGTTCCACCACCTGCGTAAGTCGTGGGTCTAGCAGCTTTTCAGCCTCCAAATCTTCCTTGACACGCACAGCCACATAGCTGTCGATGCACGTAGCAATAATCGTATCTGTGTACTGCGAGCGCGTGTTTAAGTCAAAGTATTTCCCTGCACCAAGTGCCAAACGCAGAGCATCCTCGTACTCCTCCAGATGGAAAAAGCACTTGGAGGCAACATAAGCGGCTAGCTCACGGTCCGGAAAATTTCTCTCTTCTGAAAGTTCCTCGATAAGAGGAATGGCATCTGCAATCTCGGCCCAGTAGTGGTCTACCACTTGATTAAGCTTCTGAAGGGCATGAGTCTGCGCAACAACGATCAAATGTGTTCTCAGATAATTACATATTCGGCACGATTGGGTGGTGTACCTTAAGAACATTGTCTTCTTCCTCAAGAAGCGCAAGAACACCAGCAGCTGAGGGATTAACGACAAAAAGATCCACAACGGTAACGTCAGAATTACTAGTTTTAGTTGTGGCCATGAGGCTCCACTCAAGAATGGTAGAGGACGTGTTGGAAACCTCATGAAAACCAAAGGGGGGGTGCAGCATCAGTCAGGTAACGTACCGGAACTGCCGATCGCGACGGCCATACTATCTTTTTGTTGTAGCTAAACGAAATCTTCTCCTGTTCGTCGTACCTAGTCGAGGCATGGATGTATTGAATTAATTTCAAAACACCCCCATTATGGTGTACGACTACACATGTCACTGACTTATGCCTTTCTAAGATGTTGCAACTTTCCAATGCACTTCAAGTCTCACTCCACCACTTGCACCTTGCAGTGCTTGATTTCATGAGTGCTATTGTTTGCTCCCTAGCGTATCCCAAAGGCTAAACGAGGCACTGGAGTAGGCGTTGACCTTGCTTAAATGTTATTCTTGGTAGTGGACCATAGTTATGTAACGGAATTAATGAAATTACTCTTGACACGATTGATTGGCTGAGGTGCATTTTATCCCAAAAACCTTATAAAAATTATTATAAGGGCGAGTCTCAGCCCTTAATCCGAACTGAGATAATCTTTGAAGTTTATCAAAGGTTTATTTTGAGTTGCAATGTCGTATTCATCCATGTATAAGTTCACTATGTTGAGCTGGTCATGAATTAAGTCTACCTTCAAAACGGATGACAGCGCGTTGCGATTGCGGTCTCCAAGCTAGGAGGACGCGCGATAGAATAGCCGCGTACATGCAATACCTCAGTAAAGAGGTGCTCCCATCGCGGGGCATTTCGGAGCGACAATGGTTGTGGGTGTTCGCACCGCCTAACCAGGAATTCTGAGTGCGTTTGAATTCTGAAGTTGTCAAAAGGGGTATGAATACCCCTGAGTTAAGAACTACAACAGCGTCTAACATTTTTCAGAGGCGGTATTGGTTACCATCCAGACCAGCCCGTTTAACCGTATTGTGAAAATGGTGGGAGTCGCGGTTAATACGAGACGCAACTTCCGTGTCGCGAAGGTATGACAGTGTAAGGTCAACAAGTGCGCCGAAAACGATCGTTGAACAAGAAGAGAGTGGCCTCTCAGCTGCTGGGTCGCGATAACCGCAAATATTCCTATACAAAACATATGCGTCTTGCGTGCCCTATCGCTTTCGGCTGAGAGATTGAAGGGCTGTCTTTCACGCAAGGGCGGCCGACGACCCCACTCCCGCAGAACCATCAAATCCCAGTTCGCATGGGGTTATCTACAGGGAAAGATCTGGGTGCTTTTGTGCCTCCTAGAGGTCATGGTCATGTGGTCAAGTCCTTACTTTCTCTAAAAGAAGTGTGCTCACAGCCAAGGGTTACTGGTTGCCGATATCAACTTCCTGGACTTTGTGAAGCCGAGAAAACTCCCGACAGTATCAAGAGTGTCATCCATTCACATACGACGCGCGACTGCCTACAACAGCTGATGGTACGCGGAGGTCTTTAATTGCCAGATACAGATACGATGTTCATTCGCCTTGCGGCGGAAAGGCTAGTAAAGTGTCGAGGTTTATGATGAAAGTCGTGTGAAGTATAAATACTTCGAAATCGGGGAATGTTGTGTAGCCCTGAACATAGATTCGCGATACGATTTTATCTTGGGTATGGCGAGGCTATAATATCACGCACTGCGAGTCGACTGGAAGTCGAAAAAGCTAGGTATCATTTACTTCTTGGAATTTGCCCGGAATCGGTGGCAACGGTATCGCTAGGTGCCTCGGTATATCGCGGAAGGCTGGTGGTCATTATACGACCGAAAGAGGACATTTACTTGTCGTCGCTTCGCGACACTAGAGATCCCTCGGATCCGTATTATCCTTAGGTAAAGGATTTTCTAGACGTCGTCTCAAAAGACCCGCCGTCGGTCTTACCTCCGCGTGGGCCTCATAGAGAATACTGTACTTCAAATTATCATCATGAGGAACCACAATTTGTGGCGTATCCGCAAAGTCGGTGCTGTAATATAGCAATTCATTATTCAATGAATATCGGTGCAACTGTGCGCGCAGTCGTGATACAACTTCTTGTTCGAGCCTTCAAACTCCTTGCCCGTAGCAGCGCTACGCAAATATCATCCCTTGCGTACGCGGCGCGGATAAAATCCGTCGTGGACGACGTCACCGTTGTGACATGAGCAAGCTCATGGTCCGGTTTGCGTGACAACACATCAGCCAAAGTATTCTGCTTTCCTGGCTTATACTTCGCCTCGAAGTTATCATCTGCAAAGAATAAGAACCACCTGGCCTTCCTCTGCGAGAGATAAGGCGACTGAGTCGCAGTGCTTAATGACGCATGATTTGATGCATCACAGACGACACTAAAAAGAACGATCGGGGTCTGGCAACGCCAGTACTGATGCATGAAGGAGGCTGTATTTGACCCTGCCAAAAGCCTCCCTATGCTCGGTGCCCCAACACCATTCCGTATCCTTCTTAAGGAGATTCAACAATGGCTGTGCCATTTCCGCATAATTTGCTTTATACTAGTTGGCGAGGCCAAGCCACTTGCGCAAGTCTTTTTGGTTCTTTGGAACCGGCCAGTCCACGATGGCCTTAACCTTAGCGGGACCTGCTCAAAGGCCACACTGCCAACCAAGCACCCTAAAAAGGGGGGTTTCTCCGCGATGAAGATGCACTTATCTGTGTTGGCATACAGATTGTTTGTGCGCATGCACCCAAGCACCGCTCTCAAATAAACGATGTGGATTTCCACATCTGTCCTCCCGTTCCCCAGGCGACTGTGGACGAAGATGTCGTCAAAAAAGGTTTGTGTTTACGCCCGGTGGGGCCTAAACAATTGCGTCACAAGACGATTAAATGATGCTGGTGCATTTGACAGCCCTTGAGGTATCACCAGCCACTCCCAGAGCATCCTGCTCGGAGTACTCACCGCTGTCAGCGGAATATCAATCGCTCTCATGAGCAATTGATAATACCCATCGACAAAGTCGAGTGCACTGTACTTTGTACAGCCAACCATATTGTTCTGAAAAACGTCTTTCCTAGGAATCGGTGTATGTGCCGGAATGATGACAGCTTTTATCTTATTGTAAGCGTAAACGACACGCCACTTGCCGTTCGGCTTCCGGACACAAATCGTGGGTGTCGAATGTGAAGACTCACGCACTCGCACCATTCCTGCGTTGTGCATCGGACGGGAAAAATGAGTCAATGACATCACACTGCTCCTTGAGCAGAAGCCATTGGCGTGTTACGCAGTATTTGGCTCCCGGAACCAGGTCAATCTCATTACGACACCCCACTCAATGGTCGTCTTGGTCGTGAGAAGATGTACAGCTCTGTCTATTGCCACTACTGATGGCTTAAGCTATACAAATGGACGAGCACCTATGTGCATACGTGCGAGACGTGTCAAAGGGTGAAACCCCCTACGAGTGCGGCGGTGCCATTGGCCAAGCTACCGGTACCCTCCGGGTGTTGGCAGTCCATGAGTTTGGACTTTGTGTTTGGTCTGCGGAAGGACTCGGCGGGCAACACAAGATTCGTGGTCTTCGTCGACCATTTTGAAAGATGGCATATCATGCGGCGGTGCCGGACACCATCGAAGGTGTGGGTACAGTGACGCTGTTTGTCGATCGTGTCTTTCGACAACATGAAAACCCAGAGTCAATTGTCTCTGTCAGAAGATCCACACTTCACTGGGAAGTTTTGGTCGACGATCTTCAAGGTGCTGGACACCAAGCTGGATAATTAAACAGCGAACCATTTGCAGACCAAAGGTCAAACTGAGCGCGTAAATCGCGTCGTCGAGGACGTCCTTCGCAGCGTCTACAATGAGGGCCCGAAAAGCTGGAGCGCCATGCTGCCACTCGTAGAGCTAGCTCTGAACAATGCAGTTCATTCGTCTACCGGCTACACGCCGTTCTACGTGAACGGGTTCGTTCATTCTCGCGTCTTGCTGACGCTGCGATTCCATCCGTTCAAAGCTTGGGGGATATAGCCGAGCGGCTAGCTGATGTCAGCCCTCTCACTGTTCGTAAAGAAGTAGATGACTTCCTATCTACCAGAGTAAGTGTCTTACGACACGCTTGCGATACGATGGCTGAAAGCCAAGACACGCAGGAAGAACATGTGGATGGAAGAACCATAAGAAATGTGGAAAACTTTGTGGTCAGAGACCTGGTTTCATTAAATGCTAAAACCTTCCTACACATGCAGTCTCTGCTGACTTTCAGACAAAGCTCCGCCCACGGTTTATCGGACATTTTTAGGTCGTGGCCAAGCGGGGCCTTGTGTATACGCTAAAGTTTCCAAAACGGATGCGCATTCACCCGGTATTTATGTGGCTTGCTTAAGCTGTACCGGGGATCCAGCGCAAGTGAACGCGGAAGCGTTGGCGCTGGAGCTACGATTACAGGCGCTCGACCACCCAGAAGCTGGACCAGCAACTGGTTTTTAGCACGGATTGCAAAGATCTCCATCTTTAACGGTGTCAAGCGCCCCACCTTTACACGAAGCGACGCATTCGTCTGCTCGACGGCTTGGAGAACCAACGGCAGAGCGCGATATTCCCTAACATGAGGCAGCCGGTGCACAACGTGCTCCAAGCTTTCTAGATCTTCGGTGCAGC